GTTAGGCTGCCGCCCCTGAGCTCCCCTGGCCCCTCTGCTCCCCTCTCCTGCCTGACCCTGGCCCCTCACTTTATATGCCTTCATATCTGGGCAGCTCTGTGAGTGCTCTGGGATGTCCTACACACACCCCTGCTCTTCCGCAGAGCAATGACAACTCCCATTTTTGTCCTCATTCTTCGAGTCACAGTCAGATGGACCCCAGCCCATAAAGTCTCCTCTGACAGGTAATGGTGCTCTGTCCCCTCACGCTTGAAACCATACCTGTTTTTTTCACGTCTGTGTCTGCAATGCTCAGCACTCAAAAGTACCCATAAATATTTGATGAATGAATGAATACACGCAGCATACATTGTCTGACTGTGTTACTAAAATGATTCAAACCCAGGAATTTGTCAAGGATGAGTTTTTAGTCTCCCAGAACACCCGGGTAGGGCCACAGCAGATAATCAATGAGCATTTGCCAATTCTGAGTTGCCTCTGCTTGGGGAAGTGGTAAGTTCCCCATCACAGATGATGTGCAAAGCAAGAGTCACTTGAGAGAGTCTGCAAAGGACACTCAGCATATAGCAGGGCTCAGAGGGCCAGTGGATTCCACTGGATCTCTGAGATCCCTCTAGCCAGAAAGTTTCTAACAATGGTTCCCCATGTGGAAGGTTATGTATGAGCAACTCCTGGAAGCCAGAATTACTGAGGCCTCTGTGCTCCTAGAGGCCAGGTGGCTGGAGGCCAAGGAGCAATGACAGTAAGGTCCTAGGCCAAGGGAAAGGCAGGTAGTCACGGATCTACAGAGCAGAGGTCAGAGAGAAGCAGTGATTGTAGTGGAAGAGGGAAGGGAAGGGAAACCAAGGAAGGCTTCTGGGAGGAAGTGAGAGATGATAGAAAAGAAAGTAGGAGGATGGAGGTGAGGGAATACTCTCCATGGTCAAAGGCTTGGAGGAAGGAGATTTCGCAAATCATCGGGAAAATGGTGAAGGTCAAGAGGGTGGCCGGCCAGGAGGGAGGCCTGGGGGGCAGAGGACAGCCTGCTGACCATGAAGAATTAGAAGGGAGAGTTAGGAGAGATGTAATAGGCGAGGTCACCTGGCCCACTTTGCTCCCTCGTGATGTGGGTGACAGCTGTCACCTCGCAGGGGACAGGCCATGTCCAAAGGCAGCTGATGCCTTTCAAGCTCCCTTCCAGGTCTGGTGACCCCTGGGACCTTGAGTTGCCCTCTGGAAAGTGGGGTGCTTTTCACAAGGGGCTAAATACTCCTCTGACTTCCCCAGTCTGACCTGGAATTCCAGTTCTGAAGCTACTTACTCCCAGGAGGCCCCTGGCTGAAAGCACAGGCACCTTGGGGACCACCCCATGGTCCATTGGGCCAAACAGTGTGGCCCGGACGGCAATGGCAACAGACTCGCCATCGCCGCCAGCTCACTGGCCAAGAGAGGGCCCACGACGTAGGCAGAGCTCACAGCTTCCCGGCTCGGGGCCCCTGCAGGCCCACCCCCTCGCCACAGCCCTGCTGGCCCCAGGGACAAAAGTTCTCCCCCCACCTCTCCTGTGAGTTTTCACAGTCCCGACCAGGTTTTTGATCAGGTCTCCCCACTTTTGTTACAGGGAGAAGGAGGCCGGGCAAGGAAAACATCAGGACTAGTTTGCTAAGCGTATGGAACCCCTGTTGTCACTGCCATCCCCTTTTGCATTTCCCTCCTCCTGACAGCTGGGTGGCTCACTCACACGGGACTGGCCTGACCTCCGGAGCCCCTCCGTGGGTGAGAGTCCTGGGTGGTGATCCCCAGAGGCAGGAGCTTAGGAGGCCTCTGGCCAGCAGGAAGCAGGTGGTAAAGCCCCAGATGGCAAATCTCTCCCCACCCAGGGCCAGCCTCGCAGACTGGGCAACGAAGGGCAGCTCCCCGTAGCTGGTGCGGGCAGCAGCCCCCTGCCCCTCCTTGTGGACCTGCCACATTTACACAGCCCATCTCCTGCGTTCACCCCAGTCTGCTGGGCGCCTGTGGAGCATGTGGTTGGTCCCTGCCAGGGGTCAGGATGGCAGTCCTGGCCCCGGCTCAGTGTGGAAGTTTCCATCCTACGTCCCAGGGAGGTCACGGAGGTGAGCATTGGGATGGGCAGAACTTTCCAGAACCACTGGAACCACTGCTTTCAGCCTTAGATGAGGGACTTCACCTGTGAGAGCCTCAGTTTTGTCACCTGGAAAATGGGGTGAGGATGCATGTTTTAGAACATGGCCTGACCCTTTTATAAACGTTAGCTGCTGCTCTTATTGTCATCATCATGTTTCCTCCCCCAAGGCAGGGATCAGCCTTGCCTGGGCCTGGGGGCCTGGAGACCAGCTCCAGGGACAGCCTTGCCTGGGCCTGGGGGCCTGGAGACCAGCTCCAGGGACAGTTAAGCTGTGCAGTGCCTGGAGCCCGGTGGGCTCGCTGCCTGAGCCCAGCACTGCCGGCCCTGGCAGCAGATCAGAGGTGGTGGGTCCCACATGGGAGTCAACTTGGCTGGACAGATGGGGGCTGCTGGGCTGCACTGGACACATGGGGACCTGCCAGGGGCAGGTGCGGGTTTGGCTTGGCACATCTGCTGGAGAATTCTTGGGCTGGATCAGGCCTGGTGGGGATGGTCCACGTCCAGGGGTACGTGTGGCCAGCGTGGAATGGGGATCTCATTTTCCAATTCTCTCTCATTGGGGTCACCTTTTCTTTTGGCTCCACTTGGGGTTCCACTTTTCTTTTGGCTGTCTCTGCTTTTTCAGCTCCCCAGATGTTTTCAGTGGCCTGGAGGGGGTAATGGTAGCACTGGTAACCAACCACTAGGCAGAAGTCGCACTGCTTGAGGGACCTCTCCCTGAGCTGACTGGGGCTGATACGTGCTTGCCCCGGTGAAGGATGGTGACCCACTCCAAGTCACACAGCCCAAGGGGTCGGGCCATGTTGCAGCCGTGAATTTTCCCAGCTGGTGAGGGCAGCCCTGCCTTGGAAGCATTGTTGACCTCAAATGGCCCAAGGCCAAGTCCTCCCAGCTGGTCCCAGGCCTCAACATACTGTGCGTTCTCAGCCCAGTGCCCCTTCCTGGGCCATGGTCTCTTGGGTGCAGAGATCCGGTTGACCCAGAACAGGCGGAGATCCTGCGGTTTGGACAGTGCCTGGTCCCCACCCACTCCAAATGGCCCCTGACAGGTGCCTGGCAGGGAGGCCTCCATCCTGTCCTCTGTCACCTTCCAAACTATTGTCCGGACCTGGAGCACTATTTAAAGAGCCATCCTTGAGAACTGCCAGCCCTGCTGCATCGAGAGGGAGCACTTCAGACCATGGTAGGGGGAAGGCTGGGGCTGCCCTGCCTCCTGACCCTGACCTCATCCCTCGACTCTGACCTCATCCTGGGACCTTGACTTCATTTGTGATTCTGGCCTTCACCTCATGCCTGAACTCACCCTGACCTTGACCTTGCTCCTCTCACTGACATCCTTGACCTTGACCTTGTGTTGTCCCTGGTCCTGACCTTTTTCTTCACCCTTGATGTTATCCCTGCACCTGGCCTGCCCTGGACTGTCCTTAAAGGATGGCCAGTCTATCCATGTAGGTCCCAATTTGGGCCTCTGTCTCCTGGACTTGGTGGGGGGGCTGCCGAGGTGAAGTGGTGGTGGAGGGTGGGTAGGAACGAGGGAGAGGAGGGTAGAGGGAGGCAGGGTGGGCTAGGCTTGGAGGTTTCATGACAGAGGCAGGACTCTGCTCCTGTTGAGAGGACATGGCTCCTGGGGGATCGGGGTTGATATTCTGGGATGACCCAGGTCCTATGCAGACTGCCATGGGGCCTGCCCTGCTGCCCGCCCCTTGCCCCAGTCTCCAGCCCCTGGGGTGGCCCTGCAGGCTCTCAATGGCACGGCACTTCCTAGTCTCTGGCTCTCACACCTTCACTCTCCCTCCTGGCCTGAGAACTCTGACCTGGCTGTCAACCTCAGCTCAGAAGCCACCTCCTCCGAGAGGTCTGCTCTGAATACCCCAGCAGAAGAGGGGCCTCCCTGTGTTCTCAGTGTCTGTCACTCCCTCCATCACTGATCATCTGTCTCCCAGCTGGACAGGGAGGTGGGGGGTGTCCTTGGGGACAAAGCAGGGCCTGATTTGGCACGTGCTCCCTGGGACCAGGCACAGGGCCTGGCTAGAGGTCAGCAGGCACCTAATAAATGTCCTGATGCTCTGTGGTGGGCATCATCTTGGTTTAATAAATGGGGACACGGAGGCTCCAGAGCAGGCAACTGATTTTCTCAACATCGCAGGGCTGTGAGCGGCAAAGAGAGGATTTGAACTCGGGTCTGGGGGATGCCCTTCCGTCCTGAGGTGTTCCTTTCGGAAGGGTCCCACCTGGGAGAGCAGGATGTTGGCCGGTCAGGGCCCTGGGGCTCAGGGTGCTCCTGGGGAGTCCGAGCGAACAATCCCGTCCTCTCCTAGGTGTCCTGGAGGAGGGCCTGGCACACAGCGGGGTGACGTGCCATGAGAGGGACGTAATAGGCTGGCTGAGGCAGGGATGGGGGACACCCAGGCCGAGGGCAGGTCCTAGGAGAGAGAGGGTAGACTAGCCCACAGGCGGAAGTGATTGTTTTTTATTAATCAGAGGGAAATGTGTATGTAATTATGTGAGATGAGCCCCGCAGGGAGGTTCCTTTCTTTATGATGTCTGAAGGGATTTATAAATATTACAGAGGTTTTACAGCATCATAACGTCCTGGCTGCCCTGCCAGCCCCCTTTCAAAGGATTAGTGGAGACAAAGCACCCAGTAAAAGCTAATTATAAGTCAGCCGGCGCTGCTGCTCCTGAGCCTGGGAGCCGGAGGGGAAGTGGGGGTGAGTGCAGGGCGGGGGGTGGGGGGTGGACAGGCGTGAGCTCAGGGAGGGGAGACCACACAGGGGCTCGGGGTGGGCAGGGGAAGCCCAGGTCCTGGGGGGCGAGGACAGGGGCTTGGCACCACTGATATGGAGGCAGGGGGCTGGGGTCGGGGGCCACCCCTGCCCCCTCCTGCCCCGTGAAGCCCGGGCTGTCCTTCCCCTTGTGGCCAACTCCTGGCGAATACTGCTGTGGGTGAGGTCCCCTTGGTGGGGGGGTCCTGGGGACCCAGAGCTTTCAGGGAATGCTCAATGGTGGGCTCTCAGGCCCCTGATATCCTGAGAGAGGCATGTGGAGGCAGGACGGCTGGCCAGAGACCCTCCACGTGGATGGTCACCTGCTCTGCCCGCTGTAGAGATGGGTCCTGAGCTCTGGGCAGCTGGGCCCTGGGTGGGCGCAGAGGAGCCCCGAGGAGGGACCGACACAGGGAGATGTGGCCCGACTGTGTCCTCTCTAGTATACTGCTCAGGTTCCCCATACGGGGTCAGGAAGGTGGGGGGTCCCCAGCCTCCAGCCTCTGCTTACCCACAAGTCTCCCTGTCTGTCTGTCTGCTGTACCCTGCGGCCCAGGGCGGCCGTGTCGTTTGGGACCGTGGGTGGCACTCTGGGGGGTGAGGCGTGGGGGGCGGACAGGATGCATGGTGACCTCTGGAGGAAGGGCTCCTGCAGCACCCCACCTGGCACCTCACAGGCACCGCGGAGAGCCCGCAAGAGAGCAGAAGGTGGAGCCAGCTCTAACGTCTTCTCCATGTTTGATCAATCCCAGATCCAGGAGTTTAAAGAGGTGGGTTGGTCAGTGCGATGCATGGAAAAAGCACTTGGGAGGGGGGGCGGCGAGGCCCGGGTCACCCTCAGTCTGTGGGGATGAGGATGTCACTTCCCTCAGAGGCTGCCGGGGTGCACCTCCACGCCTAGGGGTGTGACTTGCTATGTTTGGGCAAACCCCTGCTCCTCTCTGCCTAAGCCTTTGCTTGCTGCATGACCTCAGGCGAGTCCTTCTGCTCTCTGAGCCTCAGTTTCCCTTTCTGTGAAATGGGGTTGCTGCAGCATGAAGTGAGGGAGGGCCATAGCGCCCCAGGTGTGCAGGAGGAGCTGAGTGGGTTAGCCAACACTCTCGTGCTCGTGCCATGCTGAGCCAGGACGCCAGCCGGCCAGAGGGGTCTGTACTGAGGTTATCCAGACAGCAGTGTGCAAGACAACAGCCCTGGGTGTGTGTGGGGGGGTCTGGGGAGGGGCTCAGGCTTGGACGAGTGGGTAGGTGGCTGCTCAGTACCCATGTCTCCACCAGGCCTTCACCATCATGGACCAGAACCGGGATGGCTTCATCGACAAGGAGGACCTGAGGGACACCTTTGCAGCCTTGGGTGGGTGACCAGTAGTTGGGGAAGCTCAGGGCTTGGGGCAGAACTGAGCCCAGGTCTTCTGGAAAGAGTGGGTGCCTGGGGACAGGCCAGGGCAGCAGTTGTAATGGGTGTGAGGGGTTTGGGTGCCATGGGGGTACAGGGGAGGGGTGGCCGGTGCCTGGAAGGTCAGGGGAGGTTCCTGGGGGTTCGAGGCAGTCTGGGCCAGGGATGCAGGGCAGGCACCAGGTACATGAATGGCCCATGCAAAGGCCTCGCCTAGGAGGCTGGGGTGGGGTAAGAGGGCAAGAGAGCAGGGGGAGATGCTCGGGGAGGAGCCTGGACATGTCCACAGGACTCAAGGCTACCGGGCTTCGGCTGCCAAGGAAGGCTTTTGCCCTTTCTAAGGGCCCACAGAGACGCCTTAAGGCATGAACGGGTCGCAGGAAGGGGGCATAACCAAGTCATGTCTGAACTAAGCTTTGAGCTCTTGGAGGTACGGTTTTCCACTGGGACCATGAGGAACTCCCGAGTCCCCCCACCCAACCCCAGGTGACCTCCTCCTGGAGCATATGCGCTCTGAGCTCTGCACCTCTGTTTCGGCTTCTTTGGGCCTGTTCCTTCATCTGTGAAATGGAGATAATCACCCACTTGCTCTCCTTTCCAGGGAGGCCCAGGTGGCAGCAGTGGGGGTGGTGAGGCTGGGGGCAGCCCCAGGCTAACTGTGACTGAATGTGTCCCCCTTCTAAGGTCCCCCAGGAGGTGGGCAGGGCCTGAGGGCTGAGTCGGGGTGGGAGGAGTGGGAGAGTAGAGTTGGGAGACCCTGCAGGACGCTCCCTGGTTCTGAGCTCTGCTGTCCTGGGCTGCCGGCGGGCAGGGTGCCCTCTGGTCCTCATGGTGATCCTGGGTGTCCCCCCTTCCTCCCCCAGGCCGCATCAATGTGAAGAATGAGGAGCTGGAGGCCATGGTGAAGGAGGCCCCCGGGCCCATCAACTTCACCGTCTTCCTGACCATGTTTGGGGAGAAGCTGAAGGGTGAGTGGGGCTCCAGGTGGCCCTGGGGAGGGCCTGGGCAGCCTGGCCCTGTGTGCAGACAGCTGGGGGCATGGTATAGCCCCGGATGCCCCCTGGGCCCCGCCCCAGTTTCTACCTCTACTCCAGAGTAGGAGTGACAGTAATGATGCCTGCCTTGCGGGATGGGAGGGGACAGTTTGTGTGAAAGCCCTCCGCCCAACATCAGGACGGAGCCCCAGCCCCACTTCCCTATCCCCGGGCTCATCTTACCTGCTCTGCCTCATGGCCAATGGGCGGAAGGATACTGGGAAGGGGGTTCTGGAAGCTACCGTGACTGACCCCAGTACCAGGAGGGTCACTCACACAGCTTCCAGGGAATGGATCTAGAGGCTCAGAGGTCACCATCCCTGTGCCAGGTGCCCCAGCATCAAAGTGGCTGGGATAGAACCCCAACCATGACTCCTCGCTCTAACCATTGCCCCTCCTGAGATGCAGCCTCAGGCCTAGGGTGTGGGGTCAGGGCAGTGGTCAGGACAATCCCGGACCCTTTCTCTCTGGGCCACAGGGAGCTACCCTTTGCTCCTTAGCAGCATTTTCCTGGGCTCAAGGCTTCCACAATCAGATGGAGGAGCCCGCCTGGGCTGTGACTGCCCTGGGAGGTGAGACTCATCACCACACACATCACCACCCACCCTTGGGCTGCCTTTGCCTGGTGGCCGCCCACTGATCCCCAGGGTGACCTTGGGCCAGGCTTTGCACCACAGTTTTCTGTCTGTATAATGGGAATTGTATTGGTTTCCTGAGGCTGCTCTAACAAAGAACCACAAATTTGACAGCTCAAAAAAGCTGCAATGTTCTCTCTCATTTCTGGCATCTAGAAGTCTGAAATCTGGACAAGAGTTTCCATCAGGGGCTCAAGGGAAGAGCCCCACTTATTTACCTCTTCTGGCTCCTGGTGGCTGCCTCTTCCCATCCCTATCTCTGTGGTCACACGGCCCCCTCTTCTTCTGCCTGGCCATCTCCCCGTCCCTCACTCTTAGAAGGACAATTGTCACTGGATTTAGGGCCCATTGGGATAATGCAGAATGGTCCCCCCATCTCAACATCATTTCCTTACATCTGCAAAGGCCCTTTTTCCAAGTAAGGTGACATTTCCAGGTTCTGGAGATAAGGACACAGGCATATGTTCTGGGGGTCACCCTCAACCCACGACAGGGGTGACCCTAGCAACGTCACAGATGATGTTTGGCAGCAAATCATAATAATCTCATGGGTTGTGGCCTGCTGGAAAGTACGACAGCCTCCACACACACTGTCCTGGCTGTTCCTGGAGCTAGAAAGCCAACCTATGACCTAACGGCCCCACCCTCCATGGAAACTGAGGGCCAGACATGCAGTGAGTGGGGAGCTGGAGCTGGCCCTCCTCCAGGAAGCTGTTAGGGGCTATTCCCGGGACTGTGGCCATCTCCTTGAAGAGCTCAGAACCCCCGGGGGCTGGCGTAGGGGTATACTTGCAGGAAAGACATACATGACTCTAGCCAATGATTCTATGCAGGTGGCAGAGGCCCGAAGCTCATGTTGGTGACGGCTGAGCTAAGAGCTATGACCCAAGGCCAGGTGGGGCCAAGAGACTGCAGCCTTTTTCTCATTTTTGCAGGGGTACCAGGCTCCATCTGAGTTTGTCATACGAACTTGGCTGAGCCTGCACACTTGGCCGCAGTGAGGACAGGAGAGGGGTCAGGAGGGCTGGGGCAGGCACCCTCTCATCCCTCTCACTGGGATGAGGACACTTGGCCATGTGATTCCCAATGGCCACTCTGTAGCCCATTCATTTGCTGTGGTTTGCAGTCCACAGAGCAGAGGTCTTCTCTGGCAGGAGAGAGGGGAGGGTCGGGCCGGGGTCATTGCCCAGGAGGTCACTGCTCTGGCCACTGGGCCTGAGCCCGGGACCACTGGTCCTTAGGAAGGTGGGCTGGAGCCAGCTTGCCCCAGCAAGAAGGACTCTTCTCAAACCCTGGGAGGCCAAGACTTCCCACCAGCTCCCCACCATAATCCCTTGGGCACCCCTCTCTGCTTCTGAGACCAGGATCTGGAGTGCCTGGGGCTCTGCCCCAGAGGAACCCTGGGCTGAGGCTCTGGACTGGGTAATCCCCCAAGGTCCCTACTGCCCTCCTTGGAGGAAGCCCACAGCTGTGGCCTCCACGAGCGACCAGGCTGGTGGGGCCAGCACTGTACCAGGCTCGGTCATTCAGGGACGCCGAGTGATTCAGATAACATCCTGCCCGGTATGTGTCCCCAGTCTGACAGATAGGAACACAGAGCAGCAGGACAAGCAGGGGGCTCTGGAGTCCAGAGACTCAGCTTCAGACCTTCCCTCCCCTTATCAGCGGGGACCTCAGGCAAGGTCCTCTGTCTCGGTTTCTTCTTTGACAAACTGAGGACATCAGTACCCAACCACATGGGGTGTCCTGGGGCTTCCAGGAACTAAAATGGCACACAGCACTCAGAGGGGTTTGCAACCATCACTGATCAACATTTGACCAGATCTTTATCACTAGCGACCCATTTTGTGAACTGATCCTGGGAGGTGGGCAACAAACACCACCTTTGCCTCCACGTCCCTGGTGACATAGCTGAGCCTTGAGAAAGGACAGGGACATGCCTGGTCTGCAGTGAATAGAGGGGCAGTGTGACAGAGGGGAAAAAAGCACCAGGTCTCCTGCTGTCATTCATAGCTGTGAGGCCTCGGTTGAGACCCTGTCTCTCTCTGGGCCTCAGTTTCCCCAGCTGTACAACCAGGGGGGTCCCACTGTGGTAATAGACACACTCCTTCTAAGGACATCTTCCCCCCCAAGCCCACACAGTGGAGGTGACAAAACAGAACTTCTCTGGCTGTGCCCCACCAGCCCACCACCCTCCACCCACCCCTGCCTCTGGCCTGGACCATCTTGCAGACCCACCGGTGCCCCTGCCCAAGCCCAGCCTTCAAGCCCCAAGTACAGCACTGTCTTTCCAACCTGTCACCTCTTGTACATGTCGTGGGTAGCAAGAGAGGCCCAGAGGTGACCCCACCCCAACCCCCACCCTCACTAATCATGACCTCTGAGCTTCAAGTTTCTCCATTTATAAGATCAGGTCCATTGGTAGGAGAGTTAAGCATGTAGTACGTGCTCAGTTGGGGTCTCCCTGTACAGCTGTGCAGGCTGCTCATAACTAAATGTAATGCCCTTGGTTTGTCATACGAACTTGGCTGAGCCTGCACACTTGGCCGCAGTGAGGACAGGAGAGGGGTCAGGAGGGCTGGGGCAGGCACCCTCTCATCCCTCTCACTGGGATGAGGACACTTGGCCATGTGATTCCCAATGGCCACTCTGTAGCCCATTCATTTGCTGTGGTTTGCAGTCTTGTTTCTCAAAAATCTCCCTTCTCTTGCTCCCACTGTGGAGTGGACATTGGGGACGAAGCCCCCCCCCACCTCCCAGCCCAGCTCCTGCCCAGCCCCAGCCTGTCCTACTCACCCTGGCTCTCTCCCTGCCTTGTGTGTGCTGCTTCTAGGTACGGACCCTGAGGAGACCATTCTCCACGCCTTCAAAGTCTTTGACACCGAAGGGAAAGGTTTCGTCAAGGCTGATTTGTAAGTCCACTCTGCCCTTCCTTTTTTTTTTTTTTTTAAGATTTTATTTATTTATTCATGTGAGACAGAGAGAGGCAGAGACATAGGCAGAGGGAGACATAGGCTCCCTCCCTGCAGGGAGCCTGATGTGGGACTTGATCCCCGGACCCCAGGATCACCACCTGAGCCAAAGGCAGATGCTCAACTGCTGAGCCACCCAGGTGTCCCCACTCTGCCCTTCCTTTTGGCTTTCCTTCCCCAGAGGCTCAGGTGATAAGCGAGCTGGGGTGAGGACGGGGTGGGCTGTGCCCCACTCTCCTCCGGCACCCAATGCTTAGCCAGCTCGGGCAGTGTCTGGCCAGGAACCAGGAGGGCACTGCCCTGCCCAGCTCAGTCAACGCTCGGTGTCTCTTCCCCTTTCTGGGACTCGGTGTCCCCGTTTTTGCACGGAAGTGTATATGGAGTGCGGGGTCACCAGGGGCAGATTTCCCAGTGGTGAGGCGGAGTAGGGGTGGAGGTGGGCCTTCAAGGGCAACAACATGCTGCCTAGGCTGGGGCAGGGAATGTTCTAGATGCAGGAACACAGCAGTGAAGGGACAGGGCATGGGGTCTGTGGGGTTGGTGAGAGGGTGGCCGGAGGCTATGGGGGATGACAGGTAGGGGGAGAGCGGGGAAGGAAAGGTGGGCAGGGTCTAAGTGGGGTAGCTCCTGCATGCAACAGGCCCTGGATGCTGTGTCTGCTCTGGGGACCACTGGGCTGGCATTGTGGAGGTGGGGGCACTCATCCTGCTGTGCCTCAGCCCAGTGAGAGTGCTGAGCAGAGCCAAGGGAGGTGGGCAGGGCCAGCCTGCCAAGGGCTAGGACACCAAACTCCCTGGGCAGTCGTTCCAGAGCCTCTGAGGTCTCGTTGGGCCTGTGGATGGCCTGGGGCAGGTAGGATTTCCTCCCCAGGCACAGGCTTCCTGACTATTATGATGCTTGAGGCCTTGGCTTTTTTTTTTTTTTTAAGATTTTATTTATTCGTGAGAGACACACAGAGAGAGATACAGAGACACAGGCAGAGGGAGAAGCAGGCTCCACGCAGGGAGGCTGATGGGGGACTCGATCCCTGGATCTGGCATCACACCCTGAGCTGAAGGCAGACGTTCAACCACTGAGCCACACAGGCGTCCCTTTTCTTTTCTTTTCTTTTCTTTTTTTTTTTTAAAGATTTTATTTATTTATTCACGAGAGACACACAGAGAAAGGCAGAGACATAGGCAGAATCAGGCTCCCTGTGGGAAGCCTGATGTGGTACTCGATCCCAGGACCCTGGGATCACAATCTGAGCCAAAGGCAGGTGCTTAACCACTGAGCCACCCAGGTGCCCCAAGGCTTTGAGACTAGATTTGCTGCCCGCTGGAATCATCACATAATGGGGGGTTAGGGGGCAGGAGAGGGCAGGGGTTGGGCAGAGAGGAAACAGAGAAGGTCCATCTTGTCTCTCACACCTTCTCACCACCCCCACCCCTCCAAAATTGTGAGTCACATGCTCCCCAGGGTAGGCGAGGGGTTGTTCAGGGTTCCTGTAGGCTGGGGCCCTCTCCTTCACCCCTCCCTCAGTCTGTGCTTCCCAACACTCCTCTTGGGGGCCCCCAGGAGGCAGTGAGGGCAACCCCCGGAGTGGCCTGGACCAACCCCTCTACTGGGACTCACCTTTACTCCCACCAGTGCAAGGCCAGGCCTGTCTCAGGTACCCAGTTTGGGAACTGAAGCCCCCCCACCCCCACCCGGGGATACGGGACCTGGAAGCTGTGGCGGCCTGCCAGGCAGGCCACAGAGAGGCTCTGGCTGAAATGGAGTCTGAGAACAGTCCCCAGCTTGGAGAGTTGGAAACTGTGACTGTCCCACAGTAACATAAATAATGGAAAATGTGCGTTGGTCCTTAGCGGGCTCGCCACTGCCGGCGCCACAGGACACTCGGTGCTCAGGGCCCGGCTCAGGCCTCTGGTCCTTCCCTGCCTGCTGTACCCCCTGAGAGGCCTAGGGGCCCTCCGAGCTCCTGGGGCAGGAGTTCTTTGGGGCTTCACCTCTCGCCGCCCCTCCAGGCCCAGGCAGCTCTGACCTCTGCAGGCAGCTGCTCCCCTGGACATCCCAGGGACACGGGCCCCACCGTCACTGCAAATCCTGATGTTTCCCGAACCTCAGTTTTTCCCTGTGAAAGGGGGCTCATAGCACTCGCTTCCCACGGTTATGAGGAGCAAAGGAGACCCAGGCAGGACCTTCCCATGCCTTGGCGGAGCGTAAGCACCTTATACTCTCGAAGGCACAATGCAGATATCAGCTCAAGCCACCCACTGACCTTGTGGTGCATCTAGAACCGAGCCCGAGAGGCTCCACTCAGGGACCTGGAGGTTGATTATTAGCACACAGTGGGCCATCAGAGTGGGCCCTAAGGTCATGGCAGGGTCCCAAGTTTCACTTCATTTGGTCCCCCACCTTGGAGGAGAGTCTGGGTTACAAAGGAGGAAACTGAGTCTCAGTGATTGAGGAGTCCATCTGAGGCCACACAGATACCTGGCTGGTGTCCTCCTGGCATACAACGCCTCCCCGCCGCCTGTCATCTCTCACAACCCCCCCTCCCCACTGGGGATCTGCATGTGCACACCCCAGGGTAGTGCTTCCCCTGAACCTGACCCTTCCTCTCCCCTGAGCAGCATCAAAGAGAAACTCATGACCCAGGCAGACCGGTTCAGTGAGGAGGAGGTGAGTGCGGGCTTTCCAGGGCACTGCCTAGAATCTTCTGGGGGAGGTCCTGCCCAGCCCAGCCCCGCCCCAGCCCCGTGAGATCACTCTTCTTTAGACGCTGACTCCTTGGAGAGGGACAAGGAGGAGTGGGGGTGGCTGCGGGACCCTGGCCTCTGGGCCCTCAATCCCTGGCTCTGTCTGCAGAGAGGGGACCAATGTTCTGCCTGTCGCCCCCGGGTGACGTCCCGGCTCTGGCCCCCACTCCACCCATGTCCAAGCTGACACCCTGCTCCTTCTCCAGGTCAAGCAGATGTTTGCGGCTTTCCCGCCAGATGTGTGTGGTAACCTGGACTACCAGAACCTGTGCTACGTCATCACACACGGTGAGGAGAAGGACTAGGAGGCCAGGGATCACCATTCAGAGGCAGCGAACACCGGCGGTGTTTTGGGGTGACCACCGGGGAGCCCCTACAGCCAACGTGTGCAAAGAAGAGGCTCCCCTGGCCCCATGGCTCGGGGGCAAAGGGAGAATAAATAACACTAACGAGGCCTGAGTTGTCGTGATTAATGCTCCTGTTGGTGAGAAAGCGAAACATTCCTGTGTTGGTGGTTTTTCCAAAACTTTTTACTTCCCCCGGCTTTGCTCAACTGTTCCTGATGAGCTGGTGTTTAGAACTAATTGACAGTTTTAATGATCCCCAGCTGGGCCACAGGACATTGCCTTCATTTAGGAAGCTTTTATTGAGTACCTAGGGCGTGCCAGATCTGGTGCCGCTCTGGGGGACACACAGATGAGCCAGCCCTGTCCCTGGGCCGGAAGGTCATGCAGTGAGGAGGAGAAGAAGTAGGGTGGGGACAGACACAGGGGAGGGGAAGGGGCCGTGCAGGGCAGATCTTGCAGCTAGGAGCTGGGCAGAGGCCAAGAAGGTGGAGGCCAGGGTTTGGATGGACCCAAGTGACTTTCAAGGAGTAGGCAAGGATTCCTTAAACAGGACACATGTAGCACCAACTATAAAATAAATGAAAGTGCATAAATTAGACTTCATCAAAATTAAACAATTCCACTGAGCAAAAGACATTGCAGAGTGTGAAAAGGCAAAGACCAGCATTGGGAATAGGTTTTGACAAAGATCTTGTATTCTGAACATACTTTTAAAAAATCCTACATTGGGGCACCTAGGTGGTTCGGTTGGTTAAGCATCTGCCTTCAGCTCAGGTCATGATCCTGGGGGTCCTGGTATTAAGCCCCACATCAGGTTCCCTGCTCTCTCTGCCTCTCCCCCTGCTGGTGCTCACACTGTCTCTCTCTCTCTTTCTCAAAAATAAATCTTAAAAAAAAAAAAACTTTATGGAGAAACATTAAAAAAATTCCTACACACCAATAATGGAAAGCTAACAACCACACATGTGCCAAAAAAATAAAATAATAGTCTCCAAATGGCCAAGAAAGACTTCATGAGATGCTCAGCTTCAGTGCTTATAAGGAAAACGCAAATGAAAACCTCCTTATAGAACACACTCACCGGAATGGCTAAAATTAAAAAAGATCGACAACACGAAGTATTGAAGAGGATGTGGAACAAATAGAAGTCTCAGAGTTTGCTGGCAGGATTACGAAGTGTCAACCACTTTGGCAGCCTGCAGCAGTCCTTCCTCCTGAAGTTAAAATGGGTACATATCCTGACCTAGCACACCCCACTTCTACACAGATACCGCCAGAAATGTCCACACATATCCTTCAAAAGACAAGTGTGAGAACTCACGGATCTATAAGAGTCCCAAATTGGAAGCAAAAGAAATATCCATCAAGAGAAATGACAGGGTGCCTGGGTGGCTTAGTCGGTTAACTGTGATAACTCTTGGTTTCAGCTCAGGTCATGATCTCAGGGTCATGAGATCGAGTCCTGCGTCGGGCTCCATGCCGGGCATGGAGCCTGATTGACATTCTCTGATTTCTCTCTCCCCCTCCTTCTGCCGCTCCTCCTTCTCCGCTCAAGCATTGGTGCCCAAGCGCTCTCGTGCTCTCGCTGTCTCTCAAAAAAAAAAGAGAGACATTTATCGAAATGAACGTAAGATGTCCACACACTGGAACGCTACACAGCAGTAAGAATAAGCTGACACACACCACAGCACGGTGACGCCGTGATCTATTATATGACTTGGAAGAAGACACATACACACAATGTGCACCTGCCTGGCTCCCTTGGTAGAGTGTGCAACTCTCAATCGAGGGTTGTGAGTTCGAGCCCCATGCTGGAGGTAGAGATTATGTAAAAATAAGCTCTTAAAAAAAAAAGACAAACACAAAAGAAAGCACCCTTAACTTTTAAAATGATGGCATACTTTAAAATAACTTTTTACGGGACACCTAGGGGGCTCAGCGGTTGGGCATCTGCCTTCAGCTCAGGGCTTGATCCCTGAGTCCCAGATCGAGTCCCCCATCGGGCTCCCTGCATGGAGCCTGCTTCTCCCTCTGCCTGTGTCTCTGCCTCTCTTTCTCTATATGTCTCTCATGCATAAATAAATAAAATCTTTAAAAAAAAGAAAGATAACTTTTTCATTAAGGTAAAATTCATGTACCATAAAATCCATCATTTTAGAGTATATAATTTTGGTATACTCACAGGGCTGTGCATCTATCACCACTATCTACATCCGGGACATTTTCATCACCCCCCCAAAAGAAACCCGTTAACAGTCACTCCTCATCCCTTTCTGTGCCAAGTCCCCAGCAACCACCAATCTACTTTCCTTTTCTATGGACCTGCCTATTCCAGACATGTCATATAAATGGAGTCATACAGCATATGGCCTTTTGCGTCTGGCTTCTCAGCGCAATGTTTCCATGGTTAGTCTGTGTTGTGGTATTTTTCCTCTTTATACTGAATAACATTCTATTGTATGGCTAGACCACATTTTGTTTATCCACTCATCTCTTCATGGACATTAGGGATGTTCCTACTTTGGGGCTATCATGAGTAACAGGGTCGTGAACATTCATGTGCAAGTTTTTGTGCGAGCATGTTTTTTATTCTCTTCTAGGAGTGAAATTGATGGGTCATATAGTAACTCTATATTTAAATTTTCCAGGAATTGCTAAACTGCTCTTCAGAGCATCTTTTCAAAGTGACTGCACCATGGTACATGCCTGCCGGCAATGCTCCAGAATCTACTTTCTTCACATCCTCACCGGCACTGTTATTTTCTGGAGTTTTTTTTTCTTTTTCAAACTTTTAATTTTTTTTAAGTAAGCTCTATGCCCAGTGTGGGGCTTGAACTCACAACCCAAGATCAAGAGTTGTATGCTCTACCAACAGAGCCAGCCAGATGCCCCCACTGTTTTTTGTTTCTTTTTAAATAGCCCTCCTAGTGGATGTGAAGTGACATCTCATTTTGGTTTTGATTTGCATTTCCTTAAACGATTGATGATGCTGAGCATTTTATCACGTACTTATTGACCATTTTTCTATCTTTTTTTGGAGAAATGTCTGTTCAGCTTCTTGGCCCATTTTTAAATTGGGTTATTTATCTTTTTTGTTGCTGAGCTGTAAGAATTCTTTATATATTTTAGATACTAGGCTCTTTAAATACACGATTTGCAAAAATGTTCTCCCATTCTGTGGGTTGTCTTTTCACTTTCTTAATAGTGTTCTTTAATGCTTATTCTTTCTTCTAAGAGTTTTATAGTTTCAGCTTCCACATTTAGGACATCGAGACATCTTGAGGGTTTTGTTGTTGTTGTCTATGGTGTGAGGTAAGGGTCCAACTTCATTCCTTACCTATAGATATCCAGTTCTTCCAGCACCATTTGTTGGTGAGACTATGTTCCCCCTTTGAGAAGTTTTGGCACTCCTGTCAAAGATGAACTGATCAGAATTGTATGGATTTATATCTGGACTCTCATTTCCAATCCATCTATCTCGATGTCTAAGAGTGCATACTTTTTTATTCCACTTATGTGGAGTTCGAAATCAGTTGAAACTAATTTATGGAGGCAGAAGGCAGAATAATGGTTATTTTGGGGGTAGGAAAGGGCCATGAGAGAAACCCATGGGAGTTGAAAATGCTCTATGTCTTGATCTGGTGGCAGGTACTCAGGCATAGACATGAAAGATGATCAAATGGTACCATTAAGATTTGAGCAATTAATGCACTTCACTGTATTTATGTTATATCCCAACAGGAAGGAAGGGAGCAAGAAAAAGAAAAAGAAGGCAAGAGAAAGAAAGGGGAAAGGAAAGTTGGTGGGAGGGAAGGAGGAAAGAGAAAAGACACTATAGTCAGGATACAGGGTGGAGACGATGGGCATTGGGGGACCCGTGGGGACATGGCTTTGGTGACTGATGGCACCATGCCCTGGATGGGAGGACTCAGAGGAAAATTGGCCCTGGAGAGAGAGGCTGAGTTCAGTTTGGGGCTGTTGGGTGTGAGTGGCGAGGTGCAAGGAGCAGCTGGATGCTATGCCTATGGCTCTAGGAGGCAATGGACAGCATGGGACGCAGAGCCAGAGCCTGTGCTAGCCTGTGAAGAGACAGCTGGCAGTGGGACAAGAAGAGGCCAGGGAGTAACCCTGAGCCCTTAGAGCAGGAGGAGGACCAGGTAGAGAGTGGTGGTCAGCAGGCTGGGGGGTGAGACCTGAGGGAGATGATCAGATGGAGGAATACCAACAACGCGGGATCCCAAGTTCCAGGCTCCAGGCTGAGGTCTACGTGCACCCTGATGCATCTCAGCCCTGTGAGTGCAGGACAGGAAAGGGAGGCAGAGAGCTTGCCCACGGTCATTGGTGGGGCAGAGAGTGGAACCCAGGCTGCTCGGCTCTGAGCCTGCCCTTGTAAGCTCTACCCTTTACTACCACCCAGTGCAGTGGGATGTGGGGGTAGGGACAGAGTTTGGGGCCACAAGGAGAATGTTCCTTTCCTTGTCCCTCACCCTCCTGAGCTCCTTGTTGCCTGTGGGGTAGGTGGGGAGAGAGGTGTGTCCATCAGCCTGGAGCTCCCTGGCTCAAGGGCAAGGTCTGTGGGCCGGGGCTGGGGAAGGCCCATGGCAGAGGGGAGCAGTATTTGAGAAGAGCCCTCTCTCTGCCCAGGCCTTGTTCCTTCTGCTCTCTAAGAGTTTGGCTTTCCTGGAAGTCAGAATGTCAGCTGCCGAACCCGTCAGACCTGTTTGTGCCCTGAGGAACCAGGCCAGAGCCAAGCTGGAGGGCACAGATGCCCTGGGCACCTGCTGGCCCCCCTGACACCCAGCTCCTGCAGTGACCCAGCTCCACAAGGACACAGGGCCACCAGCGGGGAAGGCCAGAGGGCCTCTGTGTGGCTCAGGAGAGGAGACTGGGGGCCATTCCTTTGCTCATCCATTCCTCCATCCTTCAGACATCCATCCACTTACACCCCTTTGGTCCAGGGCCCAGAGAATGATCTGTAATGGCCATAATGCCCACTTCTGTCCTCCATGGGCTCTGGCCTCACAGGCACAGGAGTGAGCTGACTCCAGTGGCCCAGGGAGAAGAAGGCAGGAGCAG